GCCCGTTACACAGCAGGTTTCTGGAGGTGGCCAACAGGACATGAACCAGCAGCCTGGGCGACAGCATGAGAACCCAAGCCCAATTAAATGTTTAAGCATCTCTCTCTCACACAAAACCAGTTCCTCTCCAGCGCTGCCTCTCCAGCCGCCCGGCTGTGAAGCAAAGCTGGTGGGGTCAGAGGGTCCCTGCCCCGGTCCCTGTGGGGCTTCGCCGGGCGTTGCTGCTGCGGGGGCTCCGAGATAACCGGCCTTCAGCTCAATGGATCCCCACCCTGGGCCACGACCTGCTTCTGACACGGCTGGATTTGTCAGCCTTCCTCCTTGTTTCACCTCATCAATCTGTGATGTTAAAGCCTATGGTTTATTTATTTTTTTTTAATTCATTGATAAAGCACATTATCTACAATGATTAATTTTGCATCAAAGAAACAACACTACTACAAATGGTGGTCTAAGACAACCTAGTGGGACTTTCTACAGAATTTACGTCCTAAATCCATCTCTCTGTTAGATGTGAAACATCGTTCCTCAGTGTGCTTGGCTTCTTGCTGGAATTCTTCTACAATCAAGTCCATGGCTCTGTCACCACGTGGGGAATAAACAGCAGTCCCAAGCTAAAGAACAATTGATTTACCAGCTTTGAGCGGGGTTGGTTTAAGCCTCAGAAATGAGGATTTGTTATTTCACTTAACTGCAATACAACAGGATTATCTCAGATCGCAAGATATTCATCCTCTCAGAGTAATCATGATTGATGACAACACTGAATGGGAGCAGGATAGTACAATTAATGTGGAGCAATACGGGTTAATGGAAAAAAGAACCTGTTCAATTAACGGAATAATGAATTTCAGCTTGGTCGATAAAATGCATTTGGATGCAATATTCTTTGTCTTCCATAAACTATTTGACCTCACACTAACATGACATTTTGATTAAGGAAAAAAAAAAACCAGAGATACAAAGCCATGTTGTCACACATCAAGCTGATAAAAACCTAGAAACTGATGGGTCCCACAGCAACTGCGGAGGGAAAGACGGAGACGACGCATTTCCCGAGGCGCTCCACAGGGACCAGTTCTTGGCCTTCTGCAATCTGGTGTTTTGCCAGCAGCCTGAAGAAACTGTAAAAATATCCCTGGTGAAGTCAGGGAGCGACACAAGCCGGAGGAGCCGGCCCCGAGCCCTCCCACAGCGGGCAGTCCCAGGCTGCAGGGCTGGCCAGCAGACTGGACACACCTGCACGTGGCTAAAATGGAATCACATCTGGGCACAAGCAGCACCAGCCACATGTGCAGGGAACGCTGCGGCGGAAGGCTGAGGTGGGCAGCACGAGGGTGGGGGACCTCAACCGAATGCTGCTGTGGCCAGGGGCTGAGGCAGACCCCCCTGCCGCAGGCTGCTCACCATCCAACAGGGCCAGGAGGGATGCCACAGCACCACTGTGCTCAGGCAGCTCAGCGCACAGTGGCCACAGCGGGCGTCACAGTGACATGGTACAATGACACTGGTAAGGGAGGGCTCCCCAGTCCAAAGCAACACAAGGACCCCAGGGTTAAGGCTTAAACTAAGCAGGTTTAGACTACAATTGGAATTTTTTTTTTTTTTCTTTTTTTTTTTTACAGTGAGCGCAATTAGCTATTAGGTGGTTTTATCAGACGTTGTAATGGGTTCTTCCCTACTCATTTATCAACTTTTATTATGAGGATGGGATGTTTTTCTAATTGGCCAGCTCTGGTTCAAACTGGAATTGATGCAGGGCAATCCTGCAGCCATGAAGACAGGAGTAGTATGGACATAAGGGTCCTTTCTGCAAGCGTGTAATCTCTTGGCATAATTTCACACCCCTCTGCTTGCCTTCTTTACCTGATAGCTGCTATTTAAATGAATGTACATATCCATACAACAATAGGTCTTTGGATATCACAGACATAAATCACGTGTGACCTCAGCAACTGTTTGGTGCCCGCACGTCACTCGCACACCCAGGCGATCAGGCAAATGCCAGCAGCAGGGAGGTGGGAGGGCTGGGGTCAGCAAGGGAAGCTCAGAGGGGCGCAAAGGAGGAGCACGAGGGCTCGGCTCCAGCGTCCCCGCTGCAGAGGAGCGAGCCAAGCTGCCGTGCCAGGCTGTGCAAGGTCCAGGTGGCCGCTCTCCCGGCGCCCACCGCATCATTTGAAGACAGATGGAAACGTCGGGCAGTCAGGAGACTTCATCTTCTTCATGAACTTCTTGAACTCCTTGTTCTTCTTGTCCCACTTGTAGATGGCTGTCAGCAGGTACTGGGTCTTCACCTGACGGCCCATGATGAGGAAGTAGTGGCCGAGGTTGTCCAGCTGATGGCAGGGACAGTCGGCCCCATTCTTCAGGAACAGCACAAGCTTCTTCAGGTTCTTCTTCCGGATGGGCCCCAGCTTCAGCGCCTTCCTCTTCCGCGGGACGATCATCTTGTCCCCGTTCTCCTTCTTCACTTCCTTTATGGTCATCTTGAGAGCTGAAAAACAAGCCAGAGAGAGGGGAAAACACACATCAACTCCTGAGCAGCCTTCGCTGGCACAAAGCCTTTGCCAAGCAAGGCTGGGGGCGAGGGGGCAGTGGTACCTGTGCCCCAGGATGGCAGCAGCCCCTGCCCAGCTGCAGATGCCCACTGCCCCGCACCACGGCCCTCCGTTCCCCTTCCCGTGGCACAAGGGCCCTCGCGCCCAACGCAGAACCAGCCCCCCACAGCAAGGTAAAACACAGACATCTCTGCTTCACTTCTGCCCAGTGAAGCACACTGGGCGCTTTTTACTGGAGAGGGAGACTCGTTCACCCGGCGATACGCTCTTTGCTAGCAAAACCTTAGCTGAGTAAACAAGGCAATTTTCCTGCTCTAGACACATGGAGAGACTCTTGAAAGGGCCATTTAAAAGGTCAACTTGGCTTCTCGAGCATTTGTTTGCAGTCGCTCCTGGCCCTCAGGTGCCTGCGAGACAAGTTTCCAGGCACTGAACATCCCACGCCCCGGCAGAGAAGCCCCTGGCAAACGGCTGTGCTGGCGGGACCAGCGTGCAGGAGGCAGAGCCATGAGGAGCAGCCACACGCCTGCACCTTCCCCAGAGAAGGGGAGCCAACCCAACACAAATCTCATGGAAAATATTCACCTCTTTGGGGTCAGCATTTTCCCTGAGTTAACCAGAACCACTCCCCCCCCGCCCCAAAAAAGTTCCTTCGCCACAACCATGAAGAAGAATTTAGTATACATGGGAAAAATGATGAAAATGTGTTGTATATTAAAGTATCACTTCTGTGCCATTTGGCTCTGCCTCATTTTTGGGGAAAAGCACACATGGCCAAAAATTACTAACATATTTCCATCATTTGGGAGTTTACTTCAGAGCTGCAGATAAATAGTACTCGGATAGGTGATTAATTGTCTGCTGTCCCTTCTCATTTGACTGTGAGCAGTGCAGCAGACAGCATGCAGAAGCCTCTCGCTCCAGCAGGACAACGGGTCCCCACAGCATCGCTCCTTGAAGTGTTGCTCTGCTGGAACTTGTAGCAACGAACACAAGTTGCTTTCTGGACGGCAGCTCTGCTCACCATTCCAGACTCGAATGGCAGCAGGACAGCACGACAACAGCCCTGAGAAGGCAGCACAGTCTCCGTATCACACTCACACTCCCAGCCACTGTGCTGGCAACAGGAGCAATGGTATTTACCTGCCTGTGTGCCAAAAATGCCTGCTGCGTCTGCCAAGAGCCCTGTCATGTTATACTGTTACTGTACAAGAAAGTAAGGCAGGGCTGGAAACCTAAGTGAAATTTTCATCCTATCTGTTTTCCAAATTCAGGATGGTTAAGGAGCTAAAGAGATGCAAGCTTTAAGGAGCTAAAGATGCTGAACCAGATCAATTTGCAACAAATCTGGAAAACAGAGCAAGGAGTTTTCAGGCAGCTCTCAGATCCATCACATTAAATGGGCAGCAGCATCCCTCAAGATGAACCTCAGCTTCTTTATCCGTTCTGACTTTGAACTTTTGCCCTAAGCACAGTGGTTGCCAGTGCAGGAGGAATGGTATCAAACCACTAATAAGAGACTTACCAAAATGGCTTGTTTGCAAATTGCTTTGCTGTGATCGCTGCAAGTTTAGATCCTTGTTGCTAGAGCAAGAAAACAATCTGGCAGCTCATGGAGGTGCTGTTCTACTCCAAGTATTACAGTCTACAGAAGACAAAGAGGGTCTGGTAATCCTGTGCCGTGGGAGCTCACAGCTGCTCCCTTCCCTGCACTGCTGCAGTTATTCATTTGCAAGCCAGCCATGCAGGTCCAGGGAGCATGGGAGCTGCCTAGGTGAGCCATAAATCCAGATGTGAACTAAAAACTCACACAAACCTCACTCGTGCAAAGCAGCACACAGAGCCAAGATCAGATAACTGGCTGACCAGGGGTGCAAATAATTTGTGTAGGACTCTGCTATTCACAGCAACGATGCCCTTCTTGTCATCAGCAGAGGGAGTTTGCAGTGTTGCCCACGTACAATGCAGCCTGGCTCAAGGACTACCAAGTTTCAGCTGCCTTGCTGCGGACTAAGCAATCACATGAGCCAATAAAAAAAAAAGAGGCATAATCACTACTCAGTTTTCACCCTCCTGCCAGTGACCTGGCTCCCCAGTCCCCCCTAGCTCCCCTACCCGGGCCGCCTTCCTTTAGCTCAGACGTGCTTTCCAGGCATGAAAGGCATGCGGGCAGCTCCGGCATTTTCCACGCACATCAGAAAAGTAGTGCCTCAGGGCACGTTCTTTCCCAGCTGCACAGCTGACTCCGAGAGCACAACACCACGCAGCTGGAGGCAGCCCCTCGCCTTGAGGCTTTCCCAAAACACAATGGATTTGGCAGGGGGGACCATCGTGCTTCGACTCGCCACTGCTGCAGCACCCCTGGCATCCCCCTGGCCCCAGGAACACCTCTGCCCCGGCAGCCGGGGAAAGGCTCAAGCAGGACGGATTGAGTCTTGGCTCCAGGATCCAGCTGAGCTGCCAAAACAAACAGCTTCCTCCCTGGGAGCCCTGGCCTTTCTGCTCCCCCCACGCCGCACCAAATCCATCTCAGTGCCAAGCAGGAGAAGAGCTGGAATTGCCTCCAAGATCCCGGGATGTGCTTGCTCACACAGACTAAATCTTCAGCCACTGCTGCCAGGAGAGAGCTGACCCCAGGAGGGGACCTGGGGGATTATTCACAGCACACAGCGTGTGCAGTCTTCCCAGCCCAGCAGCCTGCCCGCACCATGGCCGTGGGACTGCCCTGGTATCAGTCTTGGCATCGACCCATGCCAGCCCCTGTGCTGCAGCAGCTCTGCATTGCTGCAGAGGCACGCCAGCCACAAGCCTGTCTTCCCCTTCACTCTCACGTGATACACACACGTGCCAGCACAAACTCTTACCAAATGTGTGCTCCCTCACTAAATTGCAATCACATCTCCTCACCTAACACACTCGACACCTTTCACTTCCACGCAAGCGCCTGTTAACCAAAGCATCAGCCACGTTCCCAAAGATGCTGGTGGACGTACTTGCACGGAAAGGCCCTCACTCCCTCCATCACGGGCACCTGCAGACAGATGGCAGCCTTGGGGCCTGCGGAGAGACCACGAGCTTCCCTGTGAAGGGAGCACCAACAGGACCAGGAGCCAACTCCCGGCCACACCACGCTCTCCTGACGGCAGCGGAGCCCCGTTCTCTGCAGCACCGGTGGCCGGCTGCAGCCAGGACCACACATAAAAGCAGGAAAGCCCTTTCCAGCCAGGCATTGTCTCAGCTCTCCTTGCAACATTGCCAGCACTGCCGGGACACAGTGCCGGATACGGTGCAGCACGGTGCCAGGACTGCAGCCCCTGGGTGCCGAGGCAGGAGGTGAGGTCCCCTCCGCTCCCCTCCGGCAGCATGCCCCGGGGCCGTGCAGCTGGTGCCACTCAGGGTAGAGGGGACTCCTGCACAGCACTGGAGAGGTTTTATGTCCATGCCATACGCGGTCCTAAAGCACCCTCCCCGTGAGCACTGCCAGCACATCTGCTCACGGGCGAGTCACGGCAGGAGACCTCCAGCACAAGCCAGCATCCGGCCGCCCACTTCAAAGGCTCTTCCCAAAAAACACAGAAGTGAAAGCATTAGTCAGGCTGGGAGGGAAAAACCGAAACACAATAAACGCAGATTTCAGGATTAAATTCAGGACTCAACAGCTCTCAGCCATGTTGTGATTAAAACAGCAGAAATCCTCCCAGGGCACTAAAGCCACACTTGCCCTTGCTCAGCCTGTGTCAAGAAGCCGATGTCTGCCCAGACACGAGCCACTCGCCAGCACTTAGCCGCAGCCAGGAGAGCCGGTGCCAAAAGCCCAGCACAGGCACTGATCCTCTCACCAGACCTTGCCCACTGCCACAGGGAGCTGCCAGCACAAGAATCAGATGCAGCTGCACCACCCTTAACAGCGCAGAGACTCCTGCATGCACCAGCCTGCAGCTACAGCCAGCTTTCCCCCACCATCCCTGCTCCAGCGCAACACCACAGCACCAACCAGCCCTTCCTTCTTCCAAGGCACCATGCAGCAGGACCACGTCACCAACGACCATCAGAGTCAGAGAGAAGGCCAGCATGGGCAGCCCCATCCCCTGGAAGGTCCTCCTCTGCTGCGACCCCAAGCTGCCTTGCGCTTCCCTCTGGATCGCTGCAACTCCAGGATGCCCGGGGGGGCATGCAAGAGGGACAGCAGGGGCTCTGGATGCGCAGCTGCCCCATCACCAGCCACATCTCCCATTAGCAGAGGGTCAGACCCTGGCCCAGGGTGATGCACCCCCATCAGACCAAGCCACAGATTTGGCCCCAACTACAAACTGCTCGTATCAGATGGTGGCATAGCTCTGCTGTCTCTAATGGAGAGAGAGTAGGGAGCACTAGAGACAAAAAAAAGGCTTTTTTGTATTTCTACTAATATGAAACGGGGTGTATGAAAGTGTGTGCTCAGTCAGAGTGAAATTACTCTTGGCAGCAGCAGCTCCAAGAGCAGCAAAGGCCCCGCAGAGCTGGTTGGGGTCCAGCCTGACAAAGCACAAATCATATTTCATCACTTGAAAATATTCTTATCGATGTCCCTACAGCTCCAGCTTTCCACTCCCACCCCCAGTGTGGGGAAAGAGGAAACCCAGTCTCCCAGGCAAACTGGAAGCACTGCATCAGTGCCTCCCAAGAGCAAAGCACCCTCCTTCCCCGACCCCAGCACCAGGGCTCGGACGCCGTCTCTGAGGACCGCACTGTACCAGGGGCTGCCACAGGCTGGGACGCGCAAGCTGTGCGCCCCGCTCACCATCCACCGCCGCACCATGCCCCACAGGCTCCTCCACCCCCTCTTTTTCAGCACACAGGAGCCTGGGACCAGTCACTGTCTCTGCTGCTCTCCTGCCTGCACGGGCAGGGGCCCCACTCCAGCACCTCGGGGTCAGGGAAGGGAACGTGAGAGAAGGGAAAGCTCTGCTGTTCCTTCAGCCTCATCGCTCCTTCCTTTAGAAATCACTCAGAAGGAGGAAACCTGCCAGAAGACACATTAGGGCTGTAACAGGAGAAGGCTGCAGGCAAGGAGCTGTCAGTCATGGGGAAAAATAAACATCATGTATTGATTGTACTGCAGTCTCCAGTGCAGCGAGAGCCCGGTCAGCAGGATCCCCTCAGACCCCAGAGAAAGGGAAGAAACAATAAATAAAATCACCAAGAGAAACAGAGAGAGGAATGAACTCCAGGGCCAGCCCAGCCTGCACAAGGAGTACGAAACGAACCCTGTCTGCAGCCCAGGGAGGCTGGGGGAGACAGATGCCAGGGCACAGGAGGGCAATCTCACGTTCTACCACGCATCCATCACTGCCGCCGGCACACCAGAGCTGCACCAAAATCTGGACTACAATTAGCCCATGCATACCTGGCTCAGCCCCTGGCGCTGGTCTGTGCCCCATGCTCGCCGACACCCTCTGTGCACTCACACACCTGCCCCAACCATGGGCGATGCTCCCAGCCTTGGCACCCAGATGTGGAGCAGCACTCACACATAGCCAGAGGTGCAACAGGACCTTGTTGCATACCACAGGGACACGGGACTGCTGCTGTGGTGAGTAACCGAGCAGCAAACCAGCTGCAATGCTGGGAGCTGCACGCAGAGATGCTGAATCAAAAATGTTCCCCCTTTCCTGGAGGCAGTTTGCTGGTGCTTCCAAGGAGAAAGCTGGGGTGGAAGAGAGGAGGCAGCTCCCATGTGCTGCTGAAATAAAGAATGAGAAGTTAATCTCCAAGAGCCTGCAGCAGTGCCAACACAGGTCCCTCTGCCTACAGGCAGGATGGCCACAGTAGCAGGCAGGCAGTGCCAAAGCTTTCGCCGGGGGAGCACGCACATCGCTCCCACCGCACGGCTACTGCACAGCAAGCCCCAGCCAGAGCCATATGGACAGCAAGTCGTGCTGCCACCCCAGAGCTGTCCTGCTCTCCAAGGAGCTGCCCTGCTCTCCAAGGAGCTGCCAGGCTCTCTCAAACCAGCACCCAGTGGCCCACATTCACCGCAGCTCGAATGAATGCAGACCCAGAGTCCTGCTGGCCCACAAGGCTGGCAGCCTGCCGGCACCCCTCCAAGTCCCAGTGTCTCATCCAAGGTCCTCTCCTGGGCCAGCGAAGAAGGGTCCCTTTTCTTTATGGTCTTCCTGTGTTGATAACTGGATGCAGCTCTCTTCTTTCACTGTCCTCAATGGACATTGCTCCCAGGGCTGTCACACAGCCACCTCCTAGCCTGGCGTGGTTGCACATTGGTGGTAGGCAAAGCGCTCCGTGAGTCTTGTCCGTAAGGAGCCATGGGGGTGTAACTGAAACCTGCAGTAACGCCTCTGCGGGAATCAGCGCAGGACCCACCAACAGCTGCCCCGTGCAGCACATGTTAGTTTAAACATTTACTGTACATGTCTGGCTTTGATGAGGATCTGTAACCTGTCAGCTGCCAGTGTTTACCTTGGTGGATGTGCACGAGAAATCTCAGTCTGAAGGGCTGGGAGTTCATTTTAGTGCCAGATAAACAGCTCTCCTTGAGAAATAGCCCCATGACAGTACCCCCCC